GATCAATTCAATGGCAGTGAGTTTTTTTTTTCTTTTTGAGCCCTTCCCTGCTCAGGGTCCTCCAGTGCCACCCATCATTCTTAGGGTCAGATCCCAGTCTGCACCTCAGCTCCTGGCTTGTTCTGGCCCTGTCTGTTCCTCTCATCTCACGTGCATCACATACCCCCTCATCACTGTGCTCCAGCCACACCAACCTTTTCATTCCTCAAACACACTAAACTCATTCCCTACATTAGGTCTTTTGCAATTCTGCGGGAATGTCCCTCCCCAGATCTTTGTAGGGGACTCCTTGGCACACCATCTCAGCCCAAATGTCACCTATCAGCAAGGTTTTGTTTTGCAGTGTTGATGTTATGTGCCCTCAAGTTGATTCTGACTCACAGAGACCCTATAGGACAGAGTAGAACTGCCCCATTGGGTTTCTAAGGCTGTAATCTTTACAGAAGCAGACTGCCTCATCTTTCTCCTGTGGAGCAGCTGGTGGGCTTTAAATGCCAGCCTTTTGGTTAACACTTAAGCACTGTGCCACCAGAGCTACTCAGCAATGTCTTACCTGACAAGAGATTCGGAACAAGAAAAAGATATTACTGGATGCTTCCAGTGGAAATTATGCATTGGTGTTTCTGGCCACCTGATTCTAGTTTTTCTTGGCTTTGAGATATTTGACATGCTGTGAGCCGTAGAGAATTGATGGCAAAGTAAATAAATCTTATCTCTGGACATGCAAATAAATTGTGTTAAGAGAGATTCAATGGACTTCACTCCTCCACTGTGGAAGAAGTCAGTTTTGTGTCCATTTGCAAATTCATGTCAACATTCCTGATCTACAATGTGTCTATTCTTTAATTTCTCCTTTGAACTGGTGGTAACATCTGCTTGATTCCCTCATTAATAATGAGTTAAATCTTTAATGAGTTCATTTTTAATCTGAGAGTCATGATATTATCTATTTTGAAAATTATCTCTTTTTAAAAGTAGACTTTAATTTTTATAACATAAAATGTAGTGAGTTCCCATATGCCCCACCCCCATATAGTTTCTTCTATGGTTAACAATTTGCCTTCCTGTGACACATTTATTGTAATTGATGAACCAATATTCATGTGTTATTATTAACTAAACTCTGTAGTTTACATTAGGATTCACTCTACTTTTTTTTTTTAACTTCTTATTGTGATTTTGGTGAAATTTTACAAAGCAGATTCATTCATTTTACATTCCATAGTTTGTATTGATTGTTCTAAGGAGTGCATCTCCCTGGTGTTGTCCTTAGGCTGGTAGGTCTGTCTATTGTTTGGCTGAGAGTGAAGCCACAGGAGTGAATTCAGTTCCAGGCCCAGGGGTTATACCAGTCTCCATCAGACCAGTAAGACTGGTCTTCTTTTTTTCTTTTTCTTTTATGATTTTGAGTTTTGTTAGGATTCACTCTCTCTTTTTTTTTTTTTAAGTTGTTTTATTGTGGTAAAACAATATATAACAAAACATTTGCCAATTCAAAGTGTTTTTATTTTTAAATTTAATATTATATTTGTGTTTCTGAGGCAGTATCTCTATAGAAGTAGACTGCCCAATCTTCCTTCTGAAGAGTGGGTTTGAACCACCAGTCTTCTGGTTAGCAGTCAAATGCCTTAGGCACTATGCACCAGAGCTCCCTATTTAACCTGTTGTTGTTGTTGTTATGTGCCGTCGAGTCCGGCCCGACTCATAGCGACCCCTCCTTGGGTTTCCGAGGCAGTATCACTACGGAAGCAGGATTGCCCAACCTTCCTTTTGAGGAGTGGCTGGTGGGTTTGAACCACCAGCCTTCTGGTTAGCAGTCAAGTGCTTTAGCCACTATGCTACCAGAGCTCCTTTAACCTAGTAAACCCAAAATATTCTAATTTCAATATATAATCAATTAAAAAAGTATTAGTGAGATATTTTACATTTTCATTCTCTTACTGTGATTTGAGTGAAATTTTACGAAGCAGATTTATTATACATTCAACAGTTCATACACATTTTGTTTTGTGACACTGGTTACATCCCCTGCAGTGTAACAGCTCTCCTCTCACTTCCTCCCTGTGGTTAGCATTTCCCTGTGTCCTTCTTGCCTATATATTCCCACCCTCAGGGCTTTCTCCATGCCCAAATGCTGTCCTTCTGATCTCCCACAGTTGGTCAATTCAATGTTTTTTACAGTGACATTAGTTAGGTTTATCATGGTGTGCAACCATCACCATATTCCATTTCCTAATTATTCCACCATTATTAACAGAGACACAGGGCCCCCTAACCTCAGACTTTTCCTTCCCTCTTCCCTCCCACCCCTGGTAACCACTAATATACTTTGGTCTCTAAGCATTTGCTTGTTTCATATAAGTGGGATTATGTAATATTTGTCCTTTTGTGGTTGGCTTATTTCACTCAGCACAATGTTGTTGAGGTTCATCCATGTTGTAGCATGTATCAGAAGTTCATTTCTCTTCATGTCTGAGTAATATTCCATTGTATGTATGTACCACATTGTGTTTATTCATTCACCTGTTGATGGACACTTAGGTTGCGTCCACCTTACGGCTATTATGAAAAGTGCCACAACGAACATTGGTGTACAAGTCTCCTTTTGAGATTCTGCTTTCAAGTCCTTTGAGTATATACCTAGGAGTAGAATTGCTGGGTCCTGTGGCAGTTCTGTGTTTAACTTTTCGAGGAATCACCAAACAGTTTTCTGCAATACATGTACTATTTTGTATTCCTACCAGGAATGGGTGAGAGTTTGGGGCTTACTCGTTGAGGTGTATATTCCTGTGGGTTTTGACAAATGCAAAATGTCATGAGTCATTTAACACTACCCTCCCCATCTGAAGTAGCCCCCAACCGGGCTCTGTGTTTTTATTTTCTTCAGAGTTTGATCATCATCTGACACTACTTTGTATATGTCTTTCTTTACTTGGTTATGGTTGGTCTTTCTGTCTTGGTCATCTCTGCAAGTAGCAGGCACTCAAAATGAATACAGTAAACCCTGTGAAAGCCAGAACCTGTGTAAGGTGCAAACCTGTCAGAGAAGGAAAATTGAAAAATATTTCCCACTAATACAGAGCGACAGAAAAGTGGTCAAACTACATCTCATCAAAGACAGAAAACTTGATAAACCCAGAAAAACAAGAGAGTCTGTTGAGTTCCGCTCTCACAGAACGAGTGAAGGCAGAGCGGGCAACAACTGCACATGCCACCACACCCTTCCCTCCCCTCCTGCAGGGCCATCTGTCTTGCCTGTGTTCTACATGCGGTGTTCACACGGACCCTGCCCTTGAAGTCAAACAAGGACAGGCCCAGCCCGGCACTTGAAGTTTCGACAGGTAAATAAATCAGCTTTTTATAGCTTACCTCAGGCTCTCGGTGTTTCCGCACTGAGTAGAGTGATCACCAACCTGGTGTGTGATGTTTGGGCAACTTAGGAAGTGAGAAGGCCTTCACAGAAGTGTGGATGTCAGCTTCTCATTCTTCAGTAAGGAAACAGGATTCCCTGGGGACTGAGTGCTGGAGGTCACATGCTGGCTGGTGGCAGAATTAGGATGTTCTGACTCAGAGGTTAGAACTTGTTGCAGTAATAAAAACCAGCACACAGAGCTCTCTTTGGGCCAGGCCTGTCTTCAGGGCATTGTGTCTACTAACTCATTCAACAGCATGGCTAGCAGATGAAGAGACTGAGGCCCAGAGAAATGAATGGCTTGTCTAAGATCCCACAGCAGCAAGTGGTAGAGCCAGTATTTCAACCCAGCAGTCGAGTTCCAGAGTCTCCACACAGAGCCATTACACCAAATTGAATACACCACAGGAATGGCACATATTTGTGGAAGGATTATTCTGGGCCTGGCCCTGTGCTAAGGATTTTACATGCATCATTTCATTTCATTTTCTTGATACCAAATGTTCTTGTGGTTGTTGTTGATGTCATTGAGTCTGCCTCTGAATCACGATGACCTCGTGCCCAGTGGAACAAAATGCCATCCTGTTCTGTGCCATCCCCATGGTCAGTTGGGGATCAGATCATTGTGACTCAGAGAGCTTTCATTAGCTGAATTTTGGAAGGAGATCGCCAGGCCGTTCTTCCTCATTCATCTTAGTCTGGAAGCTCTCCTGAAACCTGCTCAGCATCATAGCAACACACAGGCCTCCACATCAGCCAAGTGGTGGCTGTGCACATGGTACATTGGCCAGGAATCGAACATGAGGTTCCCTCACAGATGGTGAGAAGTCTACCACCGAACCACCAATGATACCCAACCAGGGTGATGCTATTATTGTGCCCATTTTGCAGCAGTAGAAATGGAGTCTTAGAGAGGTTAAATGACTTACCGCAGGTCACATCCAAGATCTGAACCATGACAACCTCACTCCAGGGCTCCATGCACTTGACATTCCTCCTGGCAGCTTAAATATCTCTGTTGAAAGAGAAATTAACCCAAGAGATAAGATTTTTTTTTTCATCTTCCCATTTCCCCAGTTGCCAGATAAATCATGTCTATAGTGTGCTTGATTTAAGCTCCCTGCCAACTCTACCCTTAGGGAGGCCTAGGCAGGGCTCTCTTTGGGGATATACATCACATCCAACAAGATTCCACGTAGTGGAATTCCACTTAGTGAATTACCTCACTTGATATTATTGTTCCATGTGGTTATAGAAAACATCAGTGTTCCTTTATCATATATTCATCATTTTATTGATCATAAACATATTTATCAGGTATCTGTAGATGCTAGGCACTGGATAAGGTGTTGAGGTGATGTGATGAATGAATTAGACATCACTTATACCTTTTCTTGGAGCTTATTATTTATGTGTTGAGGGAGGGAGGAAACAGATAAGTCAGCAGGTCATCATCACCCCCCACCATCACCACCATCACCACCATCCCTACCTCTACTATCACCATGACCATCACCATGACCACCACCATCACCATGACCACCACCATCACCATCATCACCACCATATCACCAACACTGCCTTCACTATGACCATCATCACTATCATCACCTTCATTGCCACTGTCACCATGATCACCACCATCACCAAGATCACCATCACCATGATCACCACTATCACTGCCTTCACTATCACCATGACCACCATGACCATCATCAACATCATCACCACTATTACCACCATCACTGCCTTCGGTATCACCATCACCATCATCACCACCATCACCATGATCACCACTATCATCATCATCATCACCATGATCACCATGATCACCATCCTGCTATCACCATCTTACTGTCACCACCACTATCATCATCACCATCATTTCTTCCTCACCAGTCATAGCCATTAGGCTCCAGCCATAGCTGTTTATTGGACAAATATTTATAGAGCAGCTACTGTGTGTCAGGCACTGGTCCATGAAAAAGCTTTGGAGATAGAGTGGTGAATAAGACAGACAAAACCTCTGCCCTCCTGAGCTTGTCTTCACTTGTTTTCAACCATGAGCTGATTTTCATTCCAGTGGGAGAAACATATAAAAATCTTATGAACAACTAGATCACATAATTTCCAACAGTGATGTGGGCTATGAAGGAAACAAACACCAGACCAGGGTAGAGAAGGTGGGTGGTCAGGAAGGGCCTCCTGAAGAAGGTGACATTTAAGCTGAGACCTGGAAAATGAAGAAGAAACAGACATGTAAAGATTGGGGAACATTGTTTCAGGCAGTGAGAACAGTATGTGTAGAGGGCCTTACTGGAGAGAAGACCAGCTTGGTTGGAACGTGGTGACAGTAGAGAACAGAGAGATGGGCAGGGTCACACGGGCTGTGGAAGTGTTTGGATTTTACTTCAAGGGCAGTGAAGGGGCCATTGGAGGGCTCGGAGAAGAGATTTACAGAATCTCATTCACATTTTAAGATCCTTCTTGGCTGCTGTATAGAGAATGGGTGTGGGCAGTCACCAGGACATCCCATATTGCCTTTCACCCCTCGGCTGTGCACAGGCTGTGCCCATTACCTGGAATCCACAGCTGAGCTGCCAAATTCTAAGAATGACTGGTTTGCCCCTAGTCCACTTTTATGAGTCAAGTGACATGTAAACAAGTTTCTACCCAGGACCTCTTTCTTTCTTTTAGATGACGCATGGGTACATTTTTTTTTATATAGTGCAGATTCAACCCAGAGCCCCCATTTTCTCCATTAACTTTTTCAGACAATGGGAGGCTGGTACCCAATGATGACCCTGGGGCCTGTCAGGCGTTAGATGTACCACATGTAATTATCACCATTACATTGGATTCACTATTGTTTCAAGTCATGTGTATCCTGATGTTCATTTGATTTCTCTGATATTCAAATTTGTTTGACTATGTGATGTGCTGGAGAACACTGGTGGTGAGTTTAGGCCCCAGGTCCTGCTGTTTCGTGACCATGGACAAGTCCTTTCATCTCTCGGTGACAGAATTTATCATCATGATTAGAACTTATCATAAGAGCTGTCATCTTTAGGCACATGTTTCATGACAGGCACCCTGTATAGACCTTTATAGACATTTGCTTATTCAAGTCTCACTCTGCTCTTTGAAGTAAATCCCACCATCGTCATCACCATCATCACCATCAACATTACCACTTTCACTATCATCATCTTCATCACCATTTTCACCACCACCATCATCACCATCATCATCATCATCATCATCATCAATTACAGGAACATGGAACAGAAGTGGGATTCTCTTCCTATTAAGTCATATTGTTCCCCATCTCCCTCTGTAAAACACAGTGGTTGGATTTTATGATCTCTAGGACCTCACCGCTCAAAGTGTGCTCCCTGAATTGGCTGCATCGGCATCTCCTGGGAGCTTTTTAGAAAGGCCCCACCTTCTGACCTGCTGAATCAGAATCCATATTTTAACAAGACCCGCAGGTGATTTGTCGGCATATTGATGCTGGAGAAGCCCCATCTTCAAGTGCTTCCTGATGCTCTGTGAACTGTGGGATCTCTATGGAGTAAAGAGTCACCCTCAGTTATGACCATGTGACTCCTCCATGCCCTTTTCTAACCATTCCACTGAAGCAGGCCTGGGAGAGAAGTCTTTCCTTCCTTCTCAGTAGTATCTTCTTGTCTGCAGATGAGGTCGAGTGCTTCTCAGACTACATGGCCCTGAGGATCCCAAGGAACCATGTGGAGGGTTTGAGGAAATGGCTGGGCAGAATACTGCACTTGCCAGGTAATGGATAGTCTGGCTGGGCAGGGCCTTAGCCTAGGGAAAGACACCTCCCCACCCCCATCTGCATGCCTTATTCCCTTTGTGTTGCCTTTCTTCTGCTTAGGATATTCTTTCCCGTTGTTCAGGGTTAGTTCTTTCCTGTCACTCAAAACTCTGCTTGAAGGCCAACCACCTCCCCTGAGAGGCCTTCCTGATTCTTTGCCTCAAGTACCCCCATCTGCCACCAGCAACATTCTCGGCCTGTTTCCTTCTGAACACTTATCACTACTTCAAATGACCTTTTATGATTGTTAGCTTATGTGCTTGTCCTCTGCACACTTCCAATAGAAGACAACTCTGTGAGGGCAAGGCCCACTCGTTTTTTTCCTTCTTACTGAATTTTCACAATGGAGAATGTTGTTGTTGTTATGTGCCATCAAGTTGGACCCGACTCATAGCGACCCCTCCTTGGGTTCCCGAGGCAGTATCACTACAGAAGTAGATTGCCCAACCTTCCTTCTGAGGAGTGGCTGGTGGGTTTGAACCATCAGCCTTCTGGATAGCAGTCAAGTGCCTTAGGCACTATGCTACCAGAGCTCCATGGAGAATGTTGCCTGGTATTTAGTAGCTATCCACCAAATATTTGCTGAATCAATGAACAGCCTGGAACCTTAGTAGATGTACCCATCTGCTGCTGACTTGCTCCGAAAGCTAAATCACCCGAGAAAAATGCACAGGAGAAAAAGAGGCAACGCTTACACCCCTGAAATGGGAAACTATTTTATGCTTCATGGGGAAATAAACCAGTTAAAACAAGTTGCTGTCAAGTAGTTTCCAACTCATGGTGACCACATAAGGCTCCATAGGTTCCCCCTCCCCCAATGATTGATTGTTCTGAGTACATACCTCCCTGGTATTATTGTTTACCTTATGCTGTTGTTGTTATGTGCTGTTGAGTCAGACCCGACTCATAGCGACCCCTCCTTGGGTTTCCAAGGCAGTATCACTACAGAAGTAGATTGCCCAACCTTCCTTCTGAGCAGTAGCTGGTGGGTTTGAACTGCCAGCCTTCTGGTTAGCAGTCAAGTGCCTTAGGCACTACGCCACCAGAGCTCCTACGTTTACCTTATAGGCCTGTCATTGTTTGGCTGAAAGTTGAACCATGGGGGTTGAGTTCAGTTCCCAACTTGAAGGGTGTCTAAGGGCTATAGTCCTGGGGCTTCTACCAGTCTTCAGAGTAAGCCTGGTCTTTTTTATGTTTTTGAGTTTTGCTCCACTTTCTTCTCCCACTCTATCCAGGATCTCCTACTATGATCCCCTTCTGAGTGGCCAGCAGTGGCGGCTGGGGCTCCATGGGGTTTTCAGTGGTTGGTTTTTCTAAAGTAGATTGCTAGGCCTTTCTTCTGAGGCACTTAGGTGCATACTTGAACCCTCCAACCTTCAGGCTGGTAGACGAGCGTGTTAACCATTTGCACTACCCAGTCACACCTAAAATAGCAAAATCTAGGGAACAAGGTCCCAGAAACCTTCTATCCATGAACCCACCAACAGAAAAACTGGGAAGAGGGCACCATGAGGTGATTACCTGGAACATTCTGGAAGTGAGCTGTCCAGATTACCCACTTCCTTCTGCATCCTCCATTGTGGGGGCTGCAGAACAGGCTCTTGGGGTTCTGTTCCTCTTTTCCACAGGAAGAGAGACATGGAGTCTTGGGAAACCTTCCAGGGACCTGGCTCACTCTGGAAATTCTTGAAGTACTTTCTGAGAGTGGAGTGGCCTAAATTTGGCCTGGGAGGGTCAGTGACCCAATGCCTGGGAAGCCTCAGGAGGAGTGTTTGTATATTAAAAGGCCACTTTTCGAGGAGAAATGCTGTGGATACATTAAGCTGTCGCCTGTTCTTTGGAGAGCCATTATTAATGGAAAACAATAGATTAATAGTTTTAAAATGCTTGTTCAATAAGTGATTTTTATGGCTCTGGATAGAGCCCATTAAACATTTCTGTGTGTTATTATAAAGAAGTTTTAAGCGTAAAATCATAAAGTCAATAATCAGAGAATTAGTCACAGCGGCCAGCCACAGGCCATTAGTTTTAGGCCCTGTCAGAGACACCTGTGGCTTTGGCGGGTGAGTTTTCATTTCACGCCGCAGCACCAGGTGGGGATGGAGAAACCACGGTGCCTGCTGCCTTCCATAAACTTGAAGGGACAGCAAGCAGGTGTGAGCAGTGGGGTGCCAGGCAAATATTTACAAAGTGTAAACACGAATGCAAAATGAAAATGATCCAGGTCAATTTGCACATCCAGGCAGACATTTTATTTCCCCAGTGAGAGCGTGCCTCTGCTAGGGGCTCGGCCTGATCTCCTACTAAAGATAGACTGGAAGCTGCGTGCTTTTCAAAGAAGGCAGCTCACCCCAGAAGCCCCCACAGAAAGGCTTCCAGAGCCACTTCCTGAAAAAGTGTATTTCCCAGCAAATATACCATAAGAGTCAAGTATTTGAAAAGGCAACTGTGAGCTTTGAAAGATGATTTTTTTTAAATGATAAAAGCAATACATGATAATTATAAAAATAACAAAAATCCAAAGAAGATAAGAAAAACTATCCATGATCCTCTACTCAGAGATATCACTCTTTATTTTGTACTCATTCAACAAATATTTATTGAGAGCCCTCTGTACCATTCCCTGGAGAAGGATACCATGCTTGGTCAACAAAAAAGGCCAAGGCCCTCAACAAGATGGATTGAAACAGTGTTGCAACGATGGGCTCAGGTATAGCACTGTGAAGGTTAGAATATAGATTGTGAAGCTGACACAGAACCAGGCAGTGTTTTGTTCTGTTGTACGTAGGGTCACTATGAGTCAGAGCTGACTCGATGGCACCTAACAACAACATTTCTGTATGCCTGGCCCTGCTTCAGGCACTAGGCAATGAACAAAACAGATAAATGAGCAAAACACCCCTGATCCCACAAAGCAGAAGTTTCGGTGGGGGGAGACAAACAATAAGCATAAAACATAAGTGAATAAGACAGGCAGTCAAGAAAACCAACCAGTTGCCATTGAGTCAGTTCTGACTCATGACAACCTCATATGTGTCAGAGTGGAACTGTGCTCCCCAGGACTTTCAAGAGCTTATTTTTGGCAAGGAGATGGCCAGGCCTTTCTTCTGTGGTGTCTTGGACCTCCAACCTTTTGGTTAGCAGGTGAGCGTGTTAACTGTTTGCCCCACCCAGGTATCCAGGAGAGAGGCTGGAAGGCAGTAAGTGCTACAGAAAAAGAAAACAGGAGAGTGGGATAAAGGGCTGTTAGCAGGGTGTCAGGATGGGCCTCATTGAGAAGATGACACTTAAGCAAAGACCTGAAGGAGGTGAGGGAGTGAGAGAAGAGAGTTCCAGGCAAAGGGCACAACTCGTGTAAAGGCCCTGGGGCAGGAGTGTGCCTGGCATGCTTGACACACAGTTGGGAGGTGAAGAGAAGGGGGAGAGGAGAGGTGAGGGACAAATTGCATGGGACCTTCAAGGTCTTTGACTTTTCCTCTGAGTTAAAAATGGGAAAGTTTGAGCAGAGGAAGGGTGTGATCTGACCTAGTTTTTAACATGATCCTGCTGGCTGCCGTGGGGACAGTAGACAGTAGGAGCGAAGGAGGAAGGTGGGAGACGGGAGAAGAGGCAGCTGCAGAAACCCAGGACAGAGTGGGGAGAACCAGCCAGATTCTGGATAGATTTTGAAGGTAGAACCAACATGTTATTTATACCTTTCTAGACCTTTCCCTATTACTACTATTTCCACCCACTACAGATGAGGAACAAGGAGCTCTGGTGGCACAGTGGGTAAGGTCTTTGGGTGCTAACCAGAAGGTCAATTGTTCAAACCTACCAGCTACACTGTGGGAGGATGATGAAGCAATCTACTTCCGTAAAGATTTACAGCCTTGGAAACCCAATGGGGGTCACTATGAGTTGGAATTGATTCGATAGTAGTGGGTTTGGTTTGGTGATTTCACAGTAAGGAGCTTCTGGGCAGGACAGCCCTTTGGTTTATATCTGGGTGCCTGAGAATTCTGATCTCACCTGGGGAAGTAGCCTAAGAGCATCCCACCCACATTTCCATCCCTTTTCTGTTATAGGGACCTGGAGGACCCCCCATCGCTTGGATCCTTTTCTTGCTAAATGTGGCTACTTCCTGCATCCCAATCCTGATGGTGACTTTGTTTTTCGAGTTCTGTACTCGGCCTGTTTTGTGCAGAAGGAGGTGGGTCTAGGAAACATATTTTGCAGGATTGACTTGAAGGTGTCTCCTGGAACATTTCCATTCTGGGAGACACAGGGAGCTAAGCCTGAGGACAGGTGTTAAGTAAGGAGACGTTGCACCATTATTCCTCTGCAGAAACCTACCCCATGCCTGGCACTGAGCTGAGGGAGACAAGGGGGTAAGAAGACCCAGGCTGTGTCCTCATGGAGCTTTCAGGCATAGACATCAAAAGCTGTGTTAACCCAGCTCAGATGCTGCCTCCTTCAGGCAGTCTTCCTGATAGCCAGTCACTCCTCCTCTGTGCAATGCATCTGCTCCTACCATTGCACCTGCCTCCCTAACTAAAAGTGTACCTGTTCACAAAGCTATCTCCAGACTAGATCTGGAAGATTTGCCTGTATCTGGAGTGCTGGCTTCAGGGCCTGGCACACAGTAGGTGCTCAACAAGTGCTTAACGAAGTGAACAGATGGCACTGTGGAGTTCTGCAGATGCTGAGTTATGGCAGAGCTGGTGCAGTGGAAGCTTCCACACCCTTATTTGCACAGACCCCTTTCGTGTTCACAAGAGCTTCGCCTGACCACCACTTGACAGTTGGCAAACCTTTGCTCCTTTGACCTTCAGGACTGTCTCATAGAAAGGCTTCCTTATTCCCATCTTGCAGATGAGGCAGTTGGGGCTCAGAGGTAAGTGACTAAGCCAAACACACACGGCAAGTGGCCATTCCTGCGACTGGATTCAAGATCAGGTCAGGCTCTTTCTGGTATCACGTGACCCTGTAGAATTTGCAGAAGTCAGATATTTGTATAGTCTGTTTCTTAAAGAGGCCCCCTTCCCCAAATTTCACTAGCTCTAGGCCCCTTACAACCTCATCTCAGGGAAGATTCAGTCAAGAGAAGGTACTTGGGAGCTGGGATCTAAAGGGTGGACCTATGCCAGTCAGAGGGAGATAAGGGGAGCTGATATTTCCTTGGGGAGTTAGGCAGAAAGGAGAGACTCTGATGTTAGCAGGCTGATGGCCCTGGGGCCAGGAGGTTTGGCATCCAGGCACTCTTGCTGCTTTAATCCCACTCCCCAACTCCTACGAGGGTGCAAACTGCCCCATCAAGAAAACCCATGCAGCTGCTATCCAGTGGATTCCAACTCATGGCGACCCCTCATGTGCTGAAATAGAACTGTGCTCCATAGAGTTTTCAATGGCTGAGTTTTCAAAAGTAGATCTCCAGGTCTTTCTTTAGAGGCACCTAGGTGGACTCGAACCCCAGGCTTTTGGTTAGCCATTGAGCACTTCACTGTTTCCACCACCCAGGGACAAACAGCCCCACAGACCCCTCCTAGCTTTCTTCTCCCTCCATTTCCTCTTTGCTTCATTTCCTTTGTCCTTCCTTGTCCAAGCCCAGAGTTCCCTCGAGTGGGATTTTGGCCAGGGGAGAATTTCCAGGAATGATTCTATGCCTCCACTGTCTTCTTCCTCTCTGCCATCACCCCTCCTTTTTGGTACCCCCCCTTCACACACACCTTTTTCAGGCCCCCACTGATCCTTTCTCTGTGGCTGAATGAAGTCAACCCCATGTCCCTTGGGGAACTTGCTGGTTTGACATCTCTGAAGCTCCATGTTGTACACAGCTGAGTTCCAGAAGGAGCATGACTTGACCTTCATTGACTCCAGTTGCAGGAATGGCCACTTGCCATGGGCCTTCTGCTAAGTCACCTCCTCTGAGCTTCAACTGCCTCATCTGTAAAATTGGAATAAGGAAGCCTTCCTGTGAGACAATTGTGAGAGTTGAAGAAACAAATATTTGTCACCTGTCAAGTAGTGTTCAGACGGATCTCAGACTAGACTTGAACATCTTGAAATCTACAAATACCCCCTAACCCCGAAGGTTTCCCTCGTAGGGGTTGAACTGCTAAAACCCAGAAGCCAGACCCTGGTTCTGAGTCCCTGCTGGCCTCCGGCCCTCATCCATAAAGCCCGCTCGGTTTCCAGGCAGTTGGTTAGTGTTAATCACTATTGCTGCGAATAGTCACTGACCTGTAATTGTGGCCTATGAACTGTATTTCCCTCTTTCATTTGCACACATGAATTTTGCCCTATTTCCAGAAAGCAAATTATAGGTTGGAAATCAGAATATTTCAGAAAGGGGTGAGGAGGTTGGAGCAGAGTGACGGCTATGTAATGAAGTGTCCGATGACAACGCTGAGGCTGGGCCAAGTGCACGTCCACTGTGGGCCCACGTTCGTCCAGGTAAGGGGCTCAGAGGGTCTCCTCAGACCATCTCAGGCTGGGCTTCCCTCCAGGCCAAGGCAGGTGGTGGGGCCTCTAAGCCCAGGAGGTCCCAGCAGAGAGGTGGTGGCTAGAGGTGCAGGGCAACATCACCCATCACTCTGGGCAGCTTTCATGGCACTCACGAGGTGCGGGGTGCCACCAAGCTTTCACCTGCAGTACTCCGTTCTCCCCCATGCCCAGGTTTGTGGGAGAGAAAGGGACACGGGCAGGAGGAGGGGTGTCTGAACAACGAGAGGTGAGATGGGATGGCAGGAGCAGGGAGGAAGGCGCTCTGAACGATTGTTCTTGATGTCCCGTTACAGCTCGCACAGGGGACAGCAGAGGTTCCGGATTATCAGCAAAGCTACAAAATTCTGTCCTGTATTCTTGTCTTTCTCTCTGGGTTGGAAAACTCGTTATTTCATATGCTCATTCTTGACTGTGGGTAATGTGAAAGAATTACAGACTTTTCACCCTTAAAGGGACCTCTAATTGAATCAGATACAATGCCTCCATTTTAAAGATTAGGAAGCAGAGGTATCTCCCAAAGCCCAACTGTGAGCGCTTTCACAGCCACGGGGGCTCCTCGAAGTCCAGTTTCTCTCAAGCCTGGGGAGATCCTCTGTGAGCCACAAGGCTTGGTGAGAGGGGGTGCTTGTTATAAACTCAAATGCCTGCAGGGGCTGAGCCCACCTCAGAAATGAATGGGCAACACTGAGGAAGAGATAAAGAATCAGATTCAGGTCTTTCCTTATTCAGCAACCCTTGCACACCATTCTGTACCAGGCACTATTGAAATTGCTGCACTGATTTCGTCTTTGCAGCAGTCCTAAGTGGGTGTCATGGGTTGCCTTTCAGGCCATGCCGACCCATGGCCACCCTGCTCGCGTGTTAGAGGAGGTACTGCTCCACAGAGTTCTCTTGGCTGCAACCTAAACGGAAGCAGATCACCATGTCTCTTCTTCCACAGTACTGCTGGGTGGGTTACTTCTGCCCTCATTTTACAGATAAGCGAACGAGGAGTAGAGAGAGAGTAGGAAGCTTGCCTGAGGTCCCCCAGCTGCAGAGGTGGGCTTTGATCCAGCAGAGGGCAGGGCTGTGGTAAGCTGGAGCCTCCATGTCCCCCAAACCCCAAATCCTCCAGAGGGGCACCACCCCGCATTTCTGGTGTCATTTTGCCAGGTTTTCCAACTTTTCAAAGAAACTAGGAATCTGTAATTGTGTGTAGAATCTCCTGATTTAAAAAAGTTTACTTATTTATTATTATTATTTTTTAAACATTGTGTGGCCCAAACAAAACACAGTGGGGTGAATTTGGCCTGAGCGATGCCAGTTTGAAACTTTTGCTGGAGAATACGGGGACAGTAGGACTAAGGGAGAAGACAAGAGGGAGAGGGGCAAGGGAGAGAAGAAGAAAGAAGGAAAGAAAGGGGGAGATTGGAGTGAAGACTGTTAATGACAACTACCATTCACTCAATAAGCACTTATTAACCACCTACTATATGTCAGGCCACTAGAATAGGGCATTATGTTTGGCAAAGTGGAGGGTCAGTGAAAACCAGGGAAACCCTCCCAGAGATGGATCAGCTTAGCGGTGGCAACAATGGGCTCAAACATAGGAACATGTGTGAGGATGGTGCAGGACCAGGCAATGCTTCATTCTGTTATACATAAGGCTGCCATAAGTTGGAGCCAACTCAAGGCAACTAACAACAAGAGTGCTGGTTCAGTGGTAGAATTCTCACCTTCCACGTGGGAGATCCAGATTTGATTCCCAGCCAATGCACCTCATGTGCAGCCACCACTCATTGATCAGAGGCTTGGGTGCTGATATGATGCTAAAACCAGTGGTGCTTTCAGACTAACCAAGGAGAAAGGTCTGGCAGTCTACTCCCAAAAACCAGGCAATGAAAACATGACAGATCGCAGTGGCCCAATCAGCAACCAACCATGAGGTTGGCTCAGACTGGGCAGCACTTCATTCGGTTGTGCACGGGGTCACTGTGAGTTGGGGGTTCTTCTCTGGTGGCGTAGTGGTTAAAGCATTTGGCTGCTAACCAAAAGGCCAGTGGGTTTGAACCCACCAGCCACTTTGTGAGAGAAAGATGAGAATCTGCTTCCATAAAGATTCACAGCCTTGGAAACCCTATGGAGCAGTTCTGCTTTGTGAGCTATGAGTTGGAACGGACTAGGTGGCAGTGGGTTTGGGTTTTTTTTTTTTTTTTTGGTAACAACAATACAACATGTAAGACACTGTCATGGTGTCAAAAGAACAAATTTGACTATGACAACATAGCCTCTTGCCCCCAGAAAGAGCTTACAGTTTGATTCTCATCTGGTCTGAATTTAAAAACTAGTGTGTGTGTCTGGGGCGGGGGTAAACCAAACCCAAACCCAAATCCACTGCCATTGAGTCAGCTCTGACTCAGCAACCCTATAGGACAGTGTAGAATTTCCCATAGGGTTCCTGAGGCTGTAAATCTTTACAGAAGGAGATTGCCTCATCTTTCTACCACAGAGCGGCTGGTGGTTTTGAACCATGGGCCTCTGGAGCCACAAAACACTGCCATCTTGGACAGCTAGGCAGACCTCTCTGAAACTCATTTGCCACCCAACCTAATGAGCGGGGGTGAATACACAGGGCTTTCTCTGCTCACCTGCTTTCCCAGTGGCACACAGTGGCCATGCCAACCCTGGTGTTGGTTGTCCTAAGAATTGCAGGGCCCCCCATCCCAGAATTCCACCAGGAAATGGGCTTGACATGTCAGGGCGGGTCATTTTTCCTTCTGCACTGGGCCTGTAATTCTGGGAGCTGCCACCAGGGGGCCGATGTTGCGGGTGTCCGGCGTCTCTCCGCCAAGTTGCTGAGAAAAGCGAGACTGGCTCAGTCCCAACTCGCCCTGCTTTGCAGCCTGAACTCCCGAATCCCCATCACCCTTCGCCAACTGAGGTGTCTGAGCAGTGCGACAGCCCAGTTTGTAGAACGAAGATGCAGTACGCGACAAAAGCCGGGTCTCCGCTGTCCCCTCCCTACATCCTCTCCCTCACCCAAAACCTCATCGAATTGACTGATTCATTCCTGGTGACTTCTGCAGCCGCTGCTTCCGTGGCTGCACCTTGAACTTGCATTAAGTTTTAATTAAAGTCGTTTCCCCGGCCTTGCCCTTGGCTAAATGCAGCTGTGGGCACAGGGCACATAGATATTTAATACTCTGCTTCTCCCCGCTGATGGCGCAGGGTGCCCAAGGGTGTACCCGAGCCGTGCCCTGCACGCAGCCATCCGCGCTCGCTTAAGTATGCCCATAGGCCCCGAGCGGGAGGCCAGCAATAACTATTCATTGCCCTGGGTTAAGTGTGCCCAGGGGCACCCATAAACTCAATGCAGTGATTAGCGATTGCTCCCAGCGCAGGCGGCCGGAGGTCCTGCGGAATGTCCGCGGGCCCTAAATATAGCCTCCTCCAGCCTCGTCAGCTAGGCCTTAAAGGGCGCAGCCGGATCGAGGCGCTCATCATCCAGCCTGCTCTGCCTTCTTTTTAGCACAACTGTTTCCCTCGGTCTGCAAGGCCAGCCTGCAAGCCTGTTCCCCTGTAGGTCGCAGAGGACGCGACTGGGATATAGGAACGGAGGGACAAGGCTTTGGAGGTTGATAGGGGCACGGTGAATCATCTCCTTCCCTTCAGGCAACTGCAGCATCCATCCCCATTCGGTCCTCTTCCCTCCCAAGTGAAGGAGGCAAGTGCAGTGACAGGGAAACTCTAGGGACTCACCCAGGGCTCCCTCTCCTGGTGAAGGGCGGGCAGAACTGCAGACACGGGAGTCTTAGCTGTTGGGGGAGGGGGTCCTCCTTGCAGTAAGGCGAGAGCCCCTCTCAGCCTGTGTGGAGGAGAGGAGTCAGGGACCTTGGGGGTTGCCAAAGCGATCTGTTCCTCTCTGGCCTTAGTTTCTTCTCCTTGTACAGTGAGGGGCTGGCAAATGATCTCTGAGCGGCTCTCTGCTGGTCTGGGACTCTTTCCTTGCCCAGCTCTGAAGCAAAGGCAAGGGGAGCCTGAAGAAAGCTGGAAGAATTGAGAGACAGGCTGGGGCTGGTGGAGGGGGCCTGCTGGCTGCAGCGGGAGCTGGAGGAAAGTCTCTGGAATGGGGAGAAGGGTGCCACCTTCAGGGGTCACTGCCAGAGTGTTGTGTGGGAGAGTGACCAACTGTCCCAGTGTGCCCTGGACTGTGGCGGTTTGGAGGCCCATGGGTGGTGCAAGAGGAGCCCTGGTGGTACAGTGGTTAAAGCTCTCGGCTGTCAACCTAAGGGTTAGCGGTTTGAACCAATCAGCAGCTCCATGGGAGAAAGATGTGGCAGTCTGTTTCCGTAAGGATTTACAGCCTTGGAAACCCTATAAGACAGTTCTACTCTGCCCTATGGGGTCGCTATGAGTCGGAATTGACTCGATGGCAGTGGGGTTTTTTGGGTTGTGCAAATGGTTAATGCACTTGGGTGCTAAACGAAAGGTTGAGGTTCAAGTCCACCCAGAGGCACCTCAGAAGAAAGGCCTGGTGATCTACTTCCAAAAAGTCAGCCACTGAGATCCTGTGGAGCATGGTTCGACTCTGGCACTGTATGGGCCCGTCCTGAGTCGGGGTCTGCCTGATGTCAACTGGCTTTAGCATTGAAAGGCCTGCATCTGGGGAACCCCTCAGTCTCAGACAAACTGGGGTAGTTGATCACCCCAAGGGTGGTGCTATTTGTTGAGAGTACCCACTTCATAGAAGCCCTCTCAACCAATGCTTGCTAGACCCAAGACAGAAGGCAAAAGGGCAAGGAAGAAAAGCAGATGGAGAGGGGCCTGGGAAAGCAGCCTCAATGGCAAGTGGGCCCGGAGCAGCAGCCCCATCTGTAGGCATAGCCTCTCTTGGCCACACCAGCTGTGCCTGGGACCCCAGCTGCCCCCTCAGACTGGCCCCGGGCCACAGCTGAGGCGGCGACATTTCCCTGGGTCTGTTGACACTCGCGTCCCAGAACATAAATGATTTTCTTGTCTTAATGAGCAAACAACCCGACTGGCACCTCTCGCGCGCCAGCCTCCTGCTGGGGTAATTGCCAGCTCTTATGTGCTTAGGCAGAAATGTTTACTCACTCACCTTTCTTACCGCTCACCAGGGAGATGTTGCCTCCTCTTTGTTCTGCAGGTCTCACGGCCACTGCCCCTGGGAAGCTCCAGTGGAAGGGTAGGTTGGCAGACAAACTTTCCAGAAGGTGGCAACCTATTCTTGTAGGCCTGATGCTCAGGGGCGCTAAGAGGCAGAGTGTTTCCATTCTCCTGCCCTCCTTTGGAGAGTGTCGGTGGATGGTGCCAACTTTTTTAGGCAGGTGTTTTGGCAGTAGTGGTGTGAGGCCGCCTGGCACCTTCCAGGTAGAGATCTGAGGCGACTGAGAGGAACCCTGAGAAGGAGACCCCAGCTTTGGGTGACAGGCTGGGCTGAATGCCTCAGAGGTTCTTCCCACCCAGACACTCTGTGCTGCGTCTCTAGTGATGGGGGAGCTCACTCTTGTGCCAGGCCACTGGTTCCCATACGAAACTTACCTTTTGCTGGTCCTACACCTGTTCTCTGTAGCCTCCCAGAAGAAGCCAGCCCCTTCTCAGTTTCTCTGCCCTTTAGATATTTGAACTCAGTGAGCATGCTCTTCCTCAAGTCCTCTTCTGAGTTCCTCCTGAGATAGGTGCTGGGGACCCCTCACTGCCCTTCTCCCACCATTCAGGCACTCACCTTTATTTGAAGCCCTGATGACCAATGTCCTACTAAAGCGTAGCAAATGCAAGTGAGGACAGGACTCCAGGGTTGCCTGGCTTGGGCCAAGTACCAGTTGACTTGTTAGCATTGCTGTTGGGGTAATGGTTCATTCTTTCTTTCTGCCATATTGTACACCTACTCTGTGCCAAGCCTTCCTGCAAGAGATCTGCTCCCCAAAATACAAGGAGTAGATGGTCCAGTTTGCTTTCTTTCCTACCTGCCCTGTCTCCTGGCCCTGCCCATCCTCCCGAAGGTCTTGTCACCTTCCTGAGTGTCCTCTCAAGTGTCCCTGTTCCTCACTCCCAGTGACTGGGTCTCTGTGGCCAGATGATTTCTGAGTGCACTCCTGTTTCTCCAGACCCCGTGGCTGGTGTCCCTTCGAGGGGAGCTGGTGGCCTCCCTGGAAGATGCCAGCCTGATAGGATTGTACGTGGACATCAATACCACCACCATCACCATTCAAAGCCCAAGGCCAGAGCTTCTTCAGAGGTGGGAGGTCAGTAGTGGACAGCAGGCCCTGCCAGGTAAGGGCCTCTGAGGTCGAGCGCCCAGGCGTGGGTGGAAGCAGCAGTGAGGCCCTGAAGAATACTTTGCTGCACCGCCGGTGCCGATTCAAATGTCCACCTGTGAGGCTGGACAGATTTAGGCAGGCGGCTTCGAAAATTGGGCCCCATTAGTGTAAAGTGCTCTGCTAGGCAGATGAGGGGCTTCTGCAATCATGTATTCCGCTCGTACTGATCATAGTGGCAGGAGCGTAATTACCATCTCCTTAAATAGCCCAAAGTTGCCATGTAAGAGAAGATGGCTCACATGACATTTGCTCTGAGCTCTCTTCCTGCTAAAAATATCCAGGCAAAATAATATTTCTTGGTTGCAGCGGAGCAGCGGTCCCTGGTCTGGGCTCCGAAACACTCTAGGGGTTAGTCCAGGGACCGGCCTGAAGGTGGGAAGTGGTGGGGAGCAGGGGCTCTGCCGAGGGTTCCTCTGGAAGGAGCAGTGTTGGAGGTCACAGGGGGTTACTTGTGCCTTGGCAGGTGCTGAACACCTCCACGGAGCTCCTGTCACTCTGGCTGGTCAGCGGCTACTTGGCCTATTCTTTAGAAGTCACTTGCCCACCGGGTAAGACCCAGGAGCGCCCCTAGTGTCCACCTTTTCTGGTTTCGTCACTCTCTCCTCTGGGTACCTTATTCTCATGAGTCCCACCCTACCTCCCCTCTGCTTAGCCCCACCCATGGCTGGGCATTTCAGAAATGCCTGGAACAGAGTTTGCTCTTGCTGAAGAGGGTGAAGGTGTGGTGGAGGGGGTAGGATGTGCAGTGCGAATGAATGTAGAATCATCAACGAGGGCCTCTCAAACTGGGATCTCTGAGCTCCTAGGAGATCCTGAGATGGGATCCAGGGGGTCTGAGAACCCTGGGAAATGTCCACAAGGTGGGAGAGGCTCTATTGCCTTTATCAGACTTTCCAGAGCTCTGGGGGAGCTCTGGTAGCGTAGTGCCTAAGGCACTTGACTGCTAACCAGAAGGCTGGCAGTTCAAATCCACCAGCCACTCCTCGGAAGGAAGATGGGGCAATCTACTCCGTAGTGATACTGCCTCGGAAACCCAAGGAGGGGTCGCTATGAGTCAGGTCCGACTCGACGGCACATAACAACAACAGCCAGGGCTCTGGGGTTCCACAGTGCCCCGATCCTGACCATACATATTATAATAATTTTGTTTAACCTGGGATGTCACCATCACTGTGTGTTTTATGTAATGTGGAGTGGCTGAGAACCTCGAAGACCACTTCCTACATCCAGGGAATTACAATTCTGAAGAACTCAGCATGCAAAATTAGGTGGAGCAGTCTTCATCCTGTGTGTGCAGATCAGAGATGACTAAGAGTTCACATTTGTATAGAATTTTATTATGAAATGAGTTTCACAGTCATGGCCTTGGTGAGTTTAGGGCATTGGGGATGGCCTCACCAAGCCCCCAGACATCTCTCCTCCTGTTCATGATGTTTGAAATCCCTGTATTTGGAGACAGATGCTTTCATTTAGCAACTGCAGAGCTGGCTTAAAAGGCCCCTTGAGAGAGCTGACACAACTAAATTCTTGCTAAAGTGTAAACAGCTGATATGAGCTGTATTTCTTAAAAGCAGCTTTGGTAATGGAAGGGGCACCAGGCTAGGTCACCAAGACTGAAGACAGTCTTGGAAGAGACATTTTGGCAGCTTCTCAGGGCAGCATCCCTCCTGGCATTGGCTTCCTTATTGGCCTTTGCAAATGGCAAGATCATTTGGTATTTGTGGATGGCTTTTATCTTCTTAGTACACCCAAGTTCCAACATAGGACACCAAGGAATCTCATGTCACTGACTTGTGCTAACCACAGGCGTGGCCCATGGCTAAGGTCCTGTGCATGTGTTCAGGATGTGTGTATATTTCCCCATTCCAGTGTCATCCAAGCCCGAGTTGGAGGTCTTCATTCACATCCCCAGGCAGAGACTGGGTCTGGTCAGAAGAGGTTCCCACGTCAAGGAAAGCCTGAGCCTACAGTTCCTCCGAGTTCATCAATCCAGCACATTCACATTCACTGAAAGCCAAGATTTTGTGGTGATCAGCATCCCGGCAGCTGAGGTGCTTCAGGTGCAGGTCAGTGTCCTGGTGGCATCTGCTGTCCTGTCTCTCCTGAGTTCCCTTCTTCGTCGGGCCACTGATACCATGTGAAGTCAGAAACAGGGAGACAGATCTGTGGGGCTGTCTGAACATGGACCTTGGCTTTGTTTGCCTCTGAGACTGGGCCTTCTTGCCAAGATGGCTCCTTGGGCACAGAATACACCTGGTCACATGTAAATACTCCTTCATTGCCCCCACCCCCCCAGCAATGCCAGGAAGGCCAAGGAGTCCCAGGAACACAAGCTTTCTATAGAATAGACCTCAGCCTGGGATTTGTAGAGATGGCTGCCCCAGTCCTGTGGACAGTGGAGAACTTCTTTCCGTGTGTGGGTAAGTGAAACACTACGGGGGTATGCCTGCTTTTAGCAGCCACATGCTGCATGAACCCCTTTTCCTTGGACTTGTGGTTCTTCCTCCTGTGATAAGGCTTCCCTTCCTGGGCCTGACAAAGCCCACACCCAACCAAATGAATAATGGCGTCAGACACACTGGGTGAAACTGGGGTGGCATGGGAACTAAGGAAGGACATTGTCACTGACTCTGGAGTGAGACTGCTGGGCAGGGGAAAATCAACTTTTGAGCCAGCTACAGGACCTCAGTGGTTCACTTAACTTTGTTGAGGTTCAGTTTTTTCCTCTGCTAAATGGGCATGCAGTACCTGCCTCATTGGGCTGTTATGAGGAGTGGATAAGAATGGGAGTAAAAGACTTAGAAGAGGGCCTGGCCCAAGATGAGTGATTTCCATTTTGACCCACCCAGAGATCTCTGTGTGGTCCCCAGTTCTTCAGGTCGAGCTCCTTGGCAAAGAGCCCTACATGATGCAATTTATTTTTTCAACTCAAAAGGAACCTTCTTCTAAACGTGGTGTGTGTCCTGTGTGCCAAGACGCTGGATTCGTGTCTTGAAAGGGGCTGTGGGGGCTATGTCCTTGGTGAAAGCACAGCTACCAGACAACCTGGTATTCACACATGCAAAACCACCAGGAGCAAAACCCACTGAAATACAGCATAAGGAAATACACATAATTCACAAATGATGTCGATCACTTTCATCTTATAATTCCTAACTGTCTTCAATAGAAGACAGACGCGAGGGAGATTTAACTCAGATGTTAATAGCGAAAGAATGCCCCGTTACCAGGATATGATGTTTCGGTTTTAAAGATTAAAAGGGGGACTGCCTACCACATCTAGCCCCAAATTCAGAATTAGAAACAAAGGAAAAGGCGGCATGGGGGAGGGTAGTGAGTTCTAACATTCTGCTAAAAATGGAAATGTATCTTGAAATTTTTTTTTTTTACACATTTTGGCTGTTTTTATTTGAAATTTCCTGCAGCGATGACATGGATTTTGGAAAGGGAGGGCTCGGATTTTATCCAACAAATATTCACTAGGCGCTTACTAGGTGAGGCCCTGGAGGGAGCAGAGGCCACCAGATTTGGTCCTTACTCTCTGGCAGCGTCCAGTGTGGAAGAAGAGATGAGAAGTGTCCCGAGAATGAAGATGGAAGGCAGGCAGGCGTGGGGGAGACACCAAAGAGCTGATGATCTTTGTCCTGGGCTTTGAAGAGGGAGTAGGTTCTTGGTGGGGAGATGGTGAATAAAATACAAAAATAGCTCAGCAACTGCAATGAAAAAACATTTTAGGGAGTTTTTTTTTTTGGCCTCTCTGGAAAGATTTATATGGGGAAAGAATGTTCTCTCCCTCATTTTATTAATTTAATATCAGCAGCCACAATGAATCTCTCTTCTCCCTGGTTCCCAGCACACCTTCCCTGCAACTCCCCTGCAGCTTCTAGAACTTTCCATTCTTGTTATAGTTATTGGTGCAGGGTCTTGTTACTCCCTCTGGTCTGTGAACTCCTTGAGGTCAGAACCTTTGTCTTACTCCGCTATTGATTCTTCCCAGGCCTTATCACGCTGCCATGCCCAGGGCGGTGCTTGTTTGACTGAATATTCACTAGGAATTTTAAACACATATTTTAGGCAAAGAACACTTTTTTTGTGTAAATATATGACTGGTAAATTGGTATGGTAATATGCAGGATTGCCTTGGCTCCCTGGGATTACGGATTTTTTTTAATAGGCTCATTCTACCCCTCTACCTGCCAACAAAGTGGTTAGAACCTCCAAGACAAATTCTGCTTATTTAAGATCGTACATGTTAAGAACAGTGAAGAAAATGAAATGTCCAGCTTGGAGAAAAGAAGCCAAGGGGGTGGTTTAGCCAAGGAGTCCTTGGGTGGTGTGAACCACTGCCACACTTGACGGCTAATCCAAAGGTTGGAGGTTTGAGTGCACTCTGGGTTTTTTTTCTTTTTTCTTTTTTTGGAGTTGGAGGTACCTCAGAAGAAAGGGCTGATGACCCACTGAAAAATCAGCCATTGAAAGCCCTGTGAATGCAGCTCTGCTGTGACACACATGGGGGTACCGTGAGTCAGAACTGACCCCAACAACTGGTACTGCGTTAGCTATGAAGAAAATGACAACCAAACTCACTGCCATCGAGTTGGATTCCAACTCAGTGACCTCCATTGGGTTTCTAAGGCTGTAAATCTTTACAGAAGCAGAGCAGCTGGTGGATTCAAACCACCCACCTTCTAGTTAGCAGCCAAATGCCTTGACCACTATACTACCAAAGCTCCTTGGGTTAACTATTGCTGTTTCACATTTTAAAGCAGGGCCCACAGATGGAAATGCCTCTAGGGATCAGGCAAAAAACAAAAACAAAAACAAAAAAAAAAAAAAAAACTCATTGCCATTGAGTCAGATTCGACTCATAGTGATTCCTCCTTGGGTTTCTAAGGTGGTATCTCTTTGGCAGTAGATTGCCCAGTCTTCCTTCCAAGGAGTGGCTGGTGGGTTTGCACTGCCAGAATTCTGGTTAGCAGTCAAGTGCCTTAGGCACTACGCTACTGGAGCTCCCTAGGGATCAGGCAAGAAATGTAAATGAATGAGGCAACCTGATGATAAGAAAACCCAGTGCCCAAGTGTAGTCTGATAGACAGCAGCAATGCTTGGGTTCTGGAGCAGACAGGGGGAGTGGGGACTTTGGCGAGCCAGAAGCCTCCAGACCCCTGGAAAGGGAGCAGCAACTTCCTCCAAACCAGCTGCCCTGGAGTTAACTCTGATTCATGGCAACCCCACACACGTCAGAGCAGAACCCTGCTCCACAGGGTCTCTCTTCTTTCCTTTTTGAACATTTAATCCATAGGGTTTTCAATGGCAGGTTTTTCAGAAGTAGATTTCTGGGTCTTTCCTCCAAAGCATCCCTGGGTGGACTTGAACCTCTGACCTTTGGGTTAGCAGCTGACCGCATTAACCATTTGCTCTACCCAAGGACTCCATCCCTTCCTTAGCTGGAGCCAACGCCTGCCTTGCAGGGAGGCAGGCTCTGTGGCCAAATCTGGTTTACCACAAGAAGCTGGAAACCTGGTTTGCTGGATAGAAAAGCTCCTAATTTAAAAAAAAAAATTGTAAATTAATTTTAAAAATACTTAAAAACACTGTGCAGGCCAAACCAAACATATCGAAGGGCTGTCTTTGAGCTGGGGGCCAGAACCTGCAAGCTCAAATCCAGGAGTTCTCAGTCAGGGGTGTTTTTGTCCCTTAGGGGTCATTTGGCAATATCTGGAGACCTTTCTGGTTGTCATGACAGGGGCGATGGTACTGGCGTTTGGTGGGTTGAGGCCTGGGATGCTGCTGCGTACAATGCACGTGACACCTCTTCCACACACAGCAAAGAATGACCTGACCCAGAAGGTCGATAGTGCCAAGGTTGAGTCTAACTTGAAGGGGCCAGGTGGTGAGCACTGCACAGGTCTGTGTGAGCCCCAGGGCTGGGCCAATGGATCAAAGTAAATATTGGCTCAAAGAGAAAACTGGCTAGTGGCATTTGATCAGGGGCAAGGATACCAGCCAGATACTCTTTGCAGAAAACTTGAAGTTCTGGGATTCAAAAGAAACTCTTGGTGCCCAGCTATTCTCATAAAGGACTCCAGGTCATGAAATCCAGCTTGTGAAGACAGTTCTTAACCCAGCACTTGAACCTGACCTTTGAAGCCCACCTGTCCCGTGTGTTAAGAGGCCACAGATGGTTCCCACAGAAGGGTGTGGGAGGATTTTGCTTCCTTGGGAAGAAGGCTGACCTTAGCCTTCCTTAGAGGGGGGTTGTTTCCTTTCTGGCAGGTTCGGGGACAGAGTTGCCTGCCTCAGCTACCATGCCGAGGACCGTTCCCTCCTCCCTGTCCCCAGGACCAGAGACGCTTCCAGTGGGTATGCCATCTGCTGCCTCCTCCCTGCTCCAAACTTCAGGGTCAGCTGCCGCAGGGGGCCTTGGGGGAGAGCTTTCTCAAGCTTTGGGTACCAGCTTTCTGACTGTCTGCATGATACAAATCCCTCTCTGTATCCTCCAACTATGGTTTCCTCTAAAGTGACCAGCCCCCACCCCTTTCAACTCCATTTCTCCCAAAGAGAGTCCACCCTGACCCCTGGCCATGACACCTCCTCCTCAAATTAAGAATGTTCCCCAGAGAAAGTCGGGGACCCCAAGAGCCCCCACCTGAAGGCACCCCCTGCCGGATGTCCTGCCTCCTCCACAGCTTCCCAGTACTCTGAGAGCAGTGAGAGGAGGAAGGAGGCCTAGCAGCTGTGCACACAGAGGGAGGAAAAACCCAGGCATCCCCCAGGGGTCCAAGGTGGTATCCACTGGGCCAGGCTGGAGAATCAGCTCCCAAGGGCCCTTCTCTGGACCTTGATCCTCAGGGCATGGGGTGCCACATGCTTGCTTTTGATGCTTTCCTCTCTCTCCACTGTTGTCTTGCTGAAGAAGGGGCTTGGACCACACCTGCAGATGGACAGACCTCTGGGAAGAAGCTGGACATCCACTGTCTCCGATCACCTCTGGGTGATGCAGGCTCGGAGGGGCCAGACCTCCGAGTGGAAGCAGGGCTCCCTGGACACTCCCTGCTTTCAGCCACACCCTCCTCAGAATCGACAGGAGCTGTCCAGGCCAGCTCCAGGTCCTCACAGCTAGTCCCCCCAGCCTCCATGGCTCTGGCCATGCATTTGTCCTCAGAAGTCACCCCTCCTCAACTGCTGCTCTGGAGGTTTGAACACTCTCAAGTGTCAGTCTCAGGACCCTCTGTCACCCTAATTGAGAGTCTTGGAACTATAAGACCTGAGCTGGGCCTTGCCCAGCCAACAAGAAGCCCCCTTGTGCTGGGAAGGTGGTCAAGGGAGGATGTGGCTGCAACAGAGCCCATCCCAAGGGAGCCTGACCAGACCAGTGAGGAATTCCAGCCATTGATGAGGCCCTCGATGACCAGCCCAGCTGAAAAGCCATCAAGTTCCCACCACTCCTCCAGGGGGCCCCAGGAAACATCCTCCACAGCGGAGGCCACAAGGCCTCCCCAGAAGGGGCCTGACTCCATCCAGGAGAGAGCCAGAGAGCACCTGGACCTATCGTCCCCAGAACCCCATCAGGACACAGAAGGGCTGGGACTCACCACCCTGCTGGCAGGGGGTGCCCCATTCACACCCAAACAGTGATTACATCCAAGCCAGACCCCAATGCCTGTCCGGGGGGTCTCAGGACCCAAGCCCCCTAGAAGGCACAGAGTGGATCCAACAGAACCTCTGCCCACCCCCCTTTTTGTTGAGTGGCTGCCAGTGGACCACAGCCACCTGACAACTCCTCTGAGAAGTCCTGTGGCCTCCACCTCGAAGAAACTGGCAACCTAATTCACAGGAGGGTCAGGAATGCCAGACTCAGCCCCCAGCCAGGCTGTGGAGTCAGTGTGTGTGGGGGGAAGTCACACACACATCCAGCCCTTGGTCTCTGCAAATGTAGAGCTTGTGGGCCCCCACAGAGACATCCTCCCCTAGCCTCGTGGAGCTCGGACACCCATCCCCTGCAGGCCAGGGGTCCTCGCCCAGCAGCAGCCAGTGGAGCCCATGTTGGCAGCCAACCCTGAAAGTCAGTCCCCCGTACCTCAGAGCATCACTGAGGGGTTTTCTGAGTGTTCCCCCTTGCCAGGCCTCCGAGGAGACCCAGAGCTAAGTCCTGGGGGTTCTCCAGGGGATGGCGAGTGCTAAGGTGTGGGGTGGGTAGTGTTTGGGCCTCCCAGGGGGAGCAGGATCATCCGTCTAAGCTTCTCCTGCCAACCCAGCTGTGTTTCCTTGCTTCCTTGCTCCCGGCTGTGGTCAGAGGTCAATCAGGGTGCAAGGTGCCAGCTCTGCAGCCAGGCTGCTGGGGTTCAAGCCCCTTCACCCATCAGTTCTGTGACTTTGGGGACATAACTCACCTCTCCGTCCCTCAGGTTCCCAATTAGTCAAGTGAGGGGGACAATAGTTCCTCCTTGATGGGACTTTGGAGGGTAAGTGAGATAATGGCCACAAAGCTTTCAGCGAAGGGGCCCATCCTCATGTTGCTATTGCCACTGGCCGCTCCCAGCCCAGGCAGAAGGGACAGTTGTTCACCTGGAAGAGCAGGATGGCCTCTGGGGGCTGGTGATAAGGTCCCATGCTGAGTGGCCTCCACTCCTCCGGGGCTGTGACCCCAGTCTCTGAAGGACCCCATGGGAAGTGGGGAGGATTGGGTATAACTGTTTCATTTTCATCACTAACCACACCCTTCTTCTGTTTCCATGGCAACAGTTGGCAACTTGCTCACTTTGCCCAACCCAGTAACCCCTAGTGACCCAGTGACCCCCGGTGATGCCTGTGCCCCAAGCCCAGCCTGGGGGCAGCTCATCATGGCTGGGGCGCAGTGGCCTGAGCTGCACTGGGGCTTCAGTGCTTTCCTGAGAGAGCCCCCAACCCCAGGCCGACCCATCACTGGAAGTGGGATTTGAAACGCAGCCAAGCCGAGGAGGCCACTGGCAACGCCCGGAACGCGCACGAAATAAATAAATAATCAGGGTTGTCTTGGCTGATAAACGGTCTCTACCTCAAAGACGACTTCTCTCCCCGGGCCGCCCCCTCCTTCCTCCTCTCCAGGCAGATCCATCCCAGGCAAAAGCTTAATAGCCCCATTTAAGGCTTTTCCTTTTCACCACGGAATTGAGCTGCTCCTGCCATTACGAGGTTTTCAGCTTCTCTCTGAAATCAAATTACTGACTCCATTTAATTTTTTAAAAGCTAGGATGATTTCCCTTCTTGAATCGAAGCCGTGACTCCAAGGCCAGCCTCACCCCCGCCCACCCTGCCAGGCGTTCCCCTGCGGGCGCAGCACTGCCCAGGATGGCAGCCCCCCAGCTGGGGCAAGCCTGACACCTAGAGGGAAAGCCAGCAGCAGGAGGCCTGGCCTTGGCACTGCCCTGACCACCTAGGGAGGGCCGAAGGCCTCAGCCTCTCCCAGGCCTGGGTCAGGAGCCCATAGCTTTGGGATACAGTGTTAGAGGCTAGATCCCAGTGGTTAGTGCCCAGCGCAGCTGTTGTGGGCTCATTGTCTGGGGGTTCCCCAAACCTCTAACTGCCTTCCCACAGTGCAGACCCTGAACCTCATCATTCAACAATTGGGCATGGAGGGTCTCTTTTATGCCAGGCACTGGTCCAGCTTTAGGGGAGTGGGATGGGCAGCAGTGAATCAGACAGAGAAAGTCCCTCACCCAGGAACAAAAGTTCTAGTGTGTCTATGCGTGTGCATGTCCTATGTGTGTGCACGTGTGTGTGTGCATGTGTGGGTGTGAAGAGCAGACATTGATGATAAACACTTGCATAGACAAACAGATAAGTCCAGATAATACTGAGAGCTCTGAAGAGAACCAAACAAGCACCTTGGGTGGAGGGTGGCTGTGGCCTTCTCTGTGTGGGTCAGTTTGGGGACTCTGAGGAGGCCCTTCAGAATGGAGACAGGACATGATGGAAGAGCATCCAGGCAGAAGGAACAGCGAGGGCAAAGGCCCTGAGGCAGGTTGCAGAGACAGAAAGAAGGCCCGTGAGGCTGGATGGAGGGAGCTGGAGGAAGTAGAGGGTGGAGAGGTGAGCCCGAGGCTTGCAGGCCACGGGCACAAGCCTGGATTTCACTCTGGCCTCAGTGGGCATCCAACAGAGGCCTAAGGTGGAGGAGCGGCCTGTGATTGATGCTTTAACAGGCTGCCTGGGGAGTGGACTTCAGAGGGACAAGAGTGGCAGAAAGGGACAGGGGACCTGGATGAGAGAGCGGGGAGAATGCAGGGCCAAATCACTCCACTGTAAGGAAAGGTGACTCAAAGTGTCTCCCTGGTGAGTGGCTCAAACCAGCTCTGCAGCCAGATGACACGGTGGAGGTGGCTTGAGACGTGACACGTCTTCTAGCCCACAGCACTGCGAAAGGCTTCCTGCTGGGACTCACTCTCTCTCTGTCTCTCCCTCTGTCTGTCTCTCTCCCTCTGTCTTTTGGTGTTTTTTGTCGCTCTCTGTCTCTGCTTTTCCCTGTCTCTTAGTCTGTCTCTCTGTCTATATATCTCCCCCAGCCCTTCCCCTTCTCCTTCTCTGCAGAGCTCCCCATCTTTGGGACACAGTAAAGCAAGGGCAAGGTAAGGAGAAAGGAGAGAGAGAGAAAAAACCTAGAAACTGACCCTTTACCAATTCCTTCCCGTGTTTAACCAACCTGCGCCCTTGGAGACAAGACAAATGGAATCAAGTTCATGAAATCACCAGGCTTTACCCGGCATAAATGGCTCTTTGCCCCCAGGCGAGCAGCGATTGTGAGGCGGAGGGGGCTGGGCATTACCTGTTCTGGGCACCCTTCCCAGCTCAGCACAGCACACAGCTGGAGCAAAGCACTTCACTTCTCTTCCTTCACTGGCTCCAAACTCGGCCGGTCGTGTTTAATTAGAAAGTGCTTGGGCTTAATTAGAAAGTGCTCCTGTCCTCCCTCAAGATGTGACAACCCCAGATCTTGACCAGGGCTCCAGGTCCTTCTGGGTGGCCCCTGCACCCTTCTGGGCCTCTGTGTGCACGTATATGAGTGTTTGCCTTGCCCTGGGGGCATCTAGGTTTCCCATGGAGACCTCCGAGGCCTGGCTGTCATTCATTTATGGCTGATGCCTCCGCAATCTTCCATCTGCACATCCTGGCAGGGAGCTGCTATTCCCCTGGGACCAGTGCCCTGCTGGGCGGTGTCTCAGACAGCTTGGGTGCTGTGGATTCCCGCCTTGTTTCCTCCGCTCTGGCCCTGTACATTTATTGGGCTTTCCTCCCGTGACACGGAGCTGCCAAAGCTGGTCCAGTTTCCCTTTGGTTTTTACCTCCTCAACCACACAACCTGTTTCCATGCCCTGCTACGTGCACACCCATTGGTGCTTCCTTGCTGAGGGCCCTGGAGTCCCAGATTCTAGATGCCTCCTACAGCAGGCTTCTTCCACTGTAGCATGCCCACCCAGCCTTCCTGATGAGTTGCCTTTGAGTAATTGCACATTGCTTACTTGGAAGGGTAATCATCAGTTTAGTCATCCTCCAGGTGACTGCAGAACTGGAAGGAGGCAGGGCAGTGGCAAGAGCTTTCTTCTGGCTATCAGGAGGCCAGCTCTGCCCACCCGAGCTCTGTGACCTTGACAATCAGCTCACTTCTCTGAGTCTCAGTTTCAGCATCTGGCTGTTTGGAAACAGGGGCAGGTAGCCTGGCTATATCCAACCTGGGATAACGTGGGGTCATCTCTTGAAGATGAACGAAGGTGGTGAGTTAAGAGTCACAGCTCTGCTAGAACCTTCACTCCTGCGGGTCCAAACTTCCAGGTCAGCCCAGACCCAGCCACCTGTCAATGAGTCTGCTGGTCACAGGTCTGCTCTCTGGAGGCGGTGGGGCCTGCCAACGACATCAGGTCACGCCAGGTGGGACGACAGGGACAGATGGTGGTCCTTGCTCAGCATGTGATTTCCATGAACTCCTAGCTCCTTTCCTGGCCCAGGTTCAGCCTCCCAGATCATAGCGCCCTCAGCGCAGTGGTTCTCAAAGTGAGGTCCCCAGGCCAGCAGCATCAACATCACACAGGAACTTGTTACAAACAACAAACTCACTGCCATTGAGTCAATTCCGACTCACAGCGACCCTTTGGGTTCCCGAGGCAGTAAATCTTTACAGAAGTAGATTGACCAGTCCTTCCATGGAGTGGTTGCTGGACAGTGAGGACCATGCTGGAGACGGGCACAGCCACAAGGGTGCCTTGTTAGAAATGCCAATTATCAGGCCCTGCCCCAGACTTACACACCCTCAGAAACTCAGGGATGGTGACCAGCCATCTGTGCTTTAACAAGCCCTCCCGGGGATTCATCTGCACTATCAAGTTGGGAACCTGGGGGAGTATGTGCCTGGCCCAACCCCTGTGTCTGAGGGTCTCTCTGCTTCCATGACAGTAGCTGGACTTAGCATTTATAAAGCTTACCGGGACTTCCTATCCACTGTCTGGTCACCCAATAGGCAAGCAAGCATGGGCTTCCTTGTGCTTATTTACTAATCTGTATGAATAATTTCACACTTTCACCACATCAAAGATTCTGCTTCTAGGTATGAGTGGCATCTGTCTTTCCAAACTCCACAGCACCTTCCTGCAGAATGAAAGCCTCTTTTCAAATTTACAGTCCTCGTCAGGGACAGAGTACCCATGTCGTGAAAAATGTGAAACTGTTACTACAGATTTGAAAGTAAGCACAAGTAAGCCCGTGCTTACCTTCCTTACTGAATAATCTGCCTCTCTATTTCTAGCCGCTCACTGCGTCTAGCACCATTGCTTCGAGGAAGGTCTTGCTCTTCTCATTTTACAGACGAGGAAACCACGCCTCAGTGCCTTGCTCAAGCCCACAAAGTAAGTGGCAGCACCCTGACCCTCTCATTCCAAAGCAAAGGTGCTGCCTCGGATAGTTTGGGTTTCTGGGGCCGCTTCAGCCAAAGGAATAAACGCACGTCCACCAACGAGGAAGGAAATCTCCCCTTCGAGCCCTGGCCCCTGATTTCCAGTTGCAATCCCAGGAGAAAGCATCCAGGAAACATAAATTTTGCGTGGCGGCTAAGAGCTCTGAAAGGAGTTCCACGTTAGAGAGATGGGACTTTATTTCTCAATGAAATAGGCTTTTTATGGTTGGAATAAAAGTGCCAGGGGAGCCTAATGCCAGGA